CCGATTTTGCCACAATGCATGCAAACTCGGTTTTCATAGGTATCAACGTATTTAGGTTTCCATTTACCATAAAAGCCTCTTGTTTTCTTATGAAAAGTTCGGTTTGGCGTTTGTCCATAACCATTTTTGTGCCTCTGAACCAGTCTATCGAACCAGTTTGGTCCAGTTCTAGGTGGTTGTTGATATGGTCTAGAACTGGGTTGTCCTCTGGTTCTATTTCCATTAAAGGATCGGTTCTGAAAATCAGGTTTTTTATTAGGTTGAGTGTTCCTTGGAATATAACCGAGACCAGCAGTCTCGTTTTCCTTCTTATTGTGCCGAGGGGGACCAGTTCCAGAATAAGGTCTAGACCTGGTTTTGTTCGTAGCACTATATGCTTTGTATTCCGGTCTATTTTTAAAATCTGTACACTCGGCAACAAGACGATGAAGATGATCAATCAAAGTACCAACGCTCGGAATTTTTGAGAGAAGTTTTTCATCATGATTAACTTGTTTGTTCATACTATCGAGCTTAAGAGAGCAAATGATTTGATCTTGTTCTAAAACCACTTCACTGTACTTAAGCCTTTCATCTATTAACTCTCCCACTTTTGTTTCAAGCCTTATCTTGGCTCTCGTGGCTTCCTCGAGTTTAGACTCAAGCTCAGTGATTTGTGATTTAAGATGATCATTTTCAGAAAGATTTTGATTAAGCTCAATAGTCAATCTTTTGAAAATTTTCCGGGCTTTGGTTTTGGATAGAGAGTCAAACTTAGATAGAAAATTTTCAAAGTTTACCTCAAAGCTCTCTTGGTCGGATTCCTCGTCGGAGTGTGCCATAAGACATAGACCTGTATGGTTAGAGTTCTTATCACTCTCCTCTTCTTCGTCATCGGATGAGTCTCCCCAGGCTGCCATCATTGCCCTTTTGAGATCTCTTTTGAACCTTTTGTCTTTGCTGGACCTCCGGTTAGAACTGGACTTGTTCTTGTCGTAGGTCCGGTCATTTTTCTTTTGTGAACAGTCTTTAGCCCTGTGCTCAAGGGAACCACAAACAAAACAGCCTTGGTTATTAAAAGATTGAAAGTTATTTTTACCTTGTTTGTTCCGGTTGTTCTTGAACCGTCGGTACATCTTCCCGAATTGTCTAGCAAATATGCTCATCTCATCTTCCGATTCACTTTCGGATTCTTCCTCCTCTTCTCGAGCTTTTAGAGCAATTCCTCTCTCTCGCCTAGCATTCTCGGCATCTTGTTCTTCTTGAAGACCTAGTTCATATGTCAAGAGTGATCCAGTCAAGTCTTCAAGCGTCATGGTGGATAGATCCTTTGCTTCTTCAATAGCCGTGGTCTTAGGCTTCCATACTTGGGGCAGACTTCTTAAAATTTTTCTTACTTGATCTTCCACTGTAATTTCTCTTCCAAGGGCTGAAAGCTCATTGATGATATTAGTAAAACGTGTAATCATATCCTTAATTGACTCTCCAGGCTTCATTACGAATAATTCGTAATTACGCATAAATATGTCAATTTTAGATTTTTTTTACACGTGAGGTACCTTCATGAGTAACCTCGAGCAAATCCCACATTTGTTTTGCAGTCTTACATCCTAGAACTCGGTTGTGTTCAGCAGGACCAAGACCACAAATCAAGTATTTAAGAGCTTGGGCATTATGCTCGAGTTTTTGATAATCATTAGTAGTAAATTCAGCTTTAGGTTTAGGAACAATTTTACCTTCGCCGTTTAGCTTTGTGATGACGTTGTCGCCACCTTCTATCACATTCCATACCTGATAATTATCGGCTTTGATAAAGTTCTCCATTCGGCTTTTCCAAAATTGATAGAACTGGCCATTGAACATTGGAGGTCGTACGGTCGAATAACCTTCTTCAAGACGGTCAACCGTGTTCATTTTTCCGGATCTCTTCCCAAGGTATTAACCTCTATGTGGTGAAGACCGGCTCTGATACCAATTGATGAAAACGGTTAGCAACACAAGAGGGGGGGTGAATTGTGTTCGTGTGGAACCGTGGCAGTTTTTCGCCGAGTTCTAGTGTGGGATAAGGGGAATTGCAAAATAGTAAAGTGCACAAGAATTTAACGAGGAAAAATCCCTTGGCTCAAAGGGATTAAAAAAACCTCGACCTCCCTCGGAGGAATTTTAACAACTTCACTAAAAAGCCTTTGAATGATTACAAGGGAAACTCTCCTAGTCTACCCTTGAGCCACCCCAACTCTATCCTCTCTAGGAAGAGTTACGCTTCTCTACCTTGCGGGTAGAGAGCCTCTCAGCTTTACAACAAAGCTCTCACTCACACAAAACAACCCGAGGAGGCTACTCTTAGCCAATCCTCAAAACCCCATTACAATATGAAGAAGGGAAAGAAGAAACTCTATCTAGAACTCCGAGTGAGCAGTTTCAGGTTCCTTGAACTTCGTATTTTTCTTGAGTGTGTCTCTGAATATTTCTCTGGTCAAGCACACCTTTATTTCTCTTTGGCTGCTCCGTTTATATAGGTTATCTTGGGCAGACCGTTTTAGCATCCTTCCTTGAATAGATGATCTTCTAATCTTGGGACTTGCCTTGATATTTTTGAATCACTTTCCTTTCATAGGATCGGACCATATATATCACACGGATATTTTCTCAATAATAAATATCCGCCCAAATCAAGAAGAATATTGAATTTACTTAGCATGCATAGGCGGCAATCAAGAATGCAAATAGAAGGAAAATATATTTATTTACCATGCATAATCTAGCACCAAGTTATAATTAGCAAGCCTTTAAAAACGTATCTCAAGAGGCCGGATTATTCATCAAAGATATGAATGGTCAACATTCAAATATGCCAGCACACATCCTTAAACAAATTAATCAAATAAATTAATCATGGATAATCATTTATGGGAAGAAGATATTTATTAAATCATACAAGTAGCAATGCATACAATACGTAAGAGCTATGGTCAACATCCAATTATTAATCATGCAATCATTAATATAACAAGTAAGGATACTTTCCATAAAGTAAAAGGCTATATTAATAAGTGGATGTCTAATCAAGCATGTAATGAGAATAAGTTGCTCAATGGAAAGTACGTATATATATAATGGCCATGCATAAAAGATATTATTGTTTAAAATAATATTCTTGACAAGTATGAGCACTCACATAAGGAGAGCACATTAATTTTCAATTAAGTAGGTGCAATCAATATTAATTCAAACCATATCACGGAGCTAGAACTGGGTCAGTATTAGTTCCACCTGCATGGTTAGTCAACAACATAATAATAATGTCCATTTGGACCTGAGGATAGTTCTGGGTTCAGGTCTATGGCTTGTTCCAAAGTATGACTTATCTTCCTTTCCTGCAATCACTTATAGACCAAAAGTAACACTAGTTGTTTGTCATCAACAAAACAATATGTTCCAACAAGTGTGACTATTATATATGAGAAATAGGAGTGAAGTCAGACGATTAATGAACATCTGCATTAATATTGTTAAATTCAAAAATCAAAAGTTTAATTACCATTCATACCTCTCAAGGAAAAAGATAACATTGTTGGGTAACTTGGCTCATAAAGAACTACTTTTCATCCACAAGCATAACATTCGAGAATTGTGATGGTTTTGAGACTACTTTAGGAATTATGCAACATGGTTTTTATCTCTCTAGTTTGTTTATTTCTGTTAAAGCAAGCTTTTATTGCATTTGTGTGTGCCCTTAAAGTTCCATTACTCGGTAGCATTGACACTTTTGAAACGCTTACTCTTGAACAAGGTGCCAACCTTCTAAGTGTGGTCCTTCTCTTCGGAATGCCACAAATAACTTTTGGGTCATTTTGTAAACTCTTCCATCCACATCTACCACTCTTTTTGTGATATGTGTTGATTTGCAAACCTTGTTAACTTGTTGCTTTGTTATTGACCAAATTATTCTTAATGTATGTAGAAATATTGTGTGTGGTGGCAAGTTGTTTGATTACTCATCTTGGCAATTCTTAGATTCTATCCATGAGCATTCACTTGACTTAGATAGCATCACTTATGTATTATTCTCGTTGTGAATATGTGAGTATTTTACCATTCTTGACAACTACAATATCATTTATGTTGGGTTGAGGGTTTATACTTACCAATTTACCATTTCTTCAAACGCATAATCATCAAAGGAATAAAAAAGAAGTTTCTTCAAAGGTTGTAATCACAGAGACGAGGGTAAATAACAAGTGTAGAGTGAAAAGATAAACTAAAAATCACCGAAAAAGAGAAGTGTAAGGTGAAAATGAACTTGTAGTGCCAAAGATAATATGTATCCCTTTTATAGAGACATCCTTTCATATTTTGAAGGAAAATGTTTCCTTTGATTATTAATCGAAAAAATTTGGGCAGCCATAAGAAATGTAATTGGATAGCATGGGATGCACCATATGATGTATTATGTACTTTCTTTCCCATTTCTTTTTTCTCAATGACTTTTTCTTCTTTTGGCATTTCTCTTTCCTTTCCTTGTTCATTCACATAATTACATTTCTCAATACATTCTCTTTCTATTTTTTAATTTAAACTCAAACCCTACACCATATATATGACTATTATTATTTTCTTCTTCTTTTGGCTAGATTTTGTAGTCTCTCTTTATAGTATATGTTCAATACTTCATTGTTAAATGTCAACATTCTTGACTAGGATGAATTTCGAATCTTGACCTCCTCATTGAGAGTGTCACAGTAATAACATCAAACCACATGATGTTTGGTGTTGTTATTTTCTTCTTAAACGCTGCAAAATAACTAATATGACACATCTTTTCAAAAAAAACTAATATGACATGTACTAAACGAAAGGAATATAAAATACCTCCTATGAGGTAGTAAAAATAAAGAAGTTCTTTGTTTTTTGAAAATAAAATAATTAATTTATTATTAACTAAAATAGTCCTTAAAATTACATTTTGTTGAGTAGCGAGTATTGGTGTTATTTGGTTGGACAGATTGATCTAGAATCTGTATGAAGTTAGCTCAACCCACTAAAAGGACTGAAAATAGTTATAAATCACTTCACCAAGACCCAATTCCCAAATAAATTTGAACGGTGATTACCGCATCCATGAGACCATGACGCTCACTCCGCCGTGTATCTTCGCCGTCACCTTCACCTCAGCAACGAAGCTCCACTCCAGCTTCTCTCTTTTCCAGAACTAATTACACCGAATCCATTTCACTCCGCATCCGCCACGTGACGTCTCCAAAGGTGTGGATTCTATTTCTTGTGAAGCTTATGTGTATAGAAATGACTTCTTTGGCTTATGATTTTTTCTTGGTTCTTAACTCGAGTCAACGATAAATCCTTCATCCTGATATAATTGTTCGGTTAACATATTTTTCTTGTTTGTTCTCCGAAATTATTATTGTACTCCGTATTTAAAATGCAAGGTTTAAGTTCAATTAAATATCATGAACAGAAACTGGCGAACCAATTTGGAAATGAGTCACTGCCGCAATAGGATTTTACACACTTGATGTTTCTGATGAGAGCTAAATGCATCACGGAGGAAAATATGAAAACCATACATCTTTGAATTGTTGATGTTGGTAGTGCCCTTGTTTATCCATTTCTTTAATATATTTAAAGATCCATGTTAGCCGACCCCAAATTCTTTTGGGATTAAGTCTTGGATGAAGTTGTTGTATTTAAAGATTCATGATACCCTTTATTGAAATTCTAATGTGCAGATAGATGCCACAAGGAGATAAGGGAAATGAGATTAATGTAGAAACCAACTGATATGACCAAATTGATCAAGGCAAGCCCGGAAGAGCTAAGCGCCACCAAAGACGTTTTCCTCTCAGCATTCCGTTTTGCAACTTCTATCGACGACCCTTCTCCTCCATTTGGTGATGAGCTCAGAACTTGCGCTCAAGAACAAGTGGAGTTCATGCTCTGGGACAGCGAAAAGGAGATTCTCGGTATCATCACAGCCGATGAGGAAATAAAGCATGAGGCCAGAATGGGATTGTGCAAGATCTTCACATCATTCGAGAAGGCCTTATTCTCCCTTCTTTCAGAGCCTGACATGAAATACAAGGATGTGGAGAAGAAGATAATGAAGAGTATGGCTGATGTTGAGTGGCTTTGCAATGTTCTCATGAAGACAGGTTTAATGAAAGATTTTGTAGCACGTTGGACCGATGTATCTAACTGTGTCTTGACAGTTGTCGAGGACAAAAGAGTCCATTCTATTATGTGGGACTTAAAGGTGAAGCTACTAGAGGTCACCTCAAAAGTTTTAGATGCTGTAGGTTATGGTACCTTAATTCTTCCACCACCTGCCAGAGCACAACTCCTAAAGGCGTGGCTTCCGTATGTAAGGAAAATGAAGCTTCTTCTTGATTCAATGGGAAATGAAGATATAGAGTTCCCTTATAGGATGGAGGAAGAGCTGTCAGAGACCATTGAGGGGGCAATTGTGTCATTGGTTTCTGCATTGCCATCAAACAACCAGGCTGAAATATTGGCTGATTGGATGAGTAGTGGAGAGTATGTGAAATATCCAGACCTGAGTGAGGCATTTGAAGTGTGGTGTTACCGGACAAAATCTGCTAACCGTAGATTGCTCGAGGCTCTGGATGAACCATCCTCTGCCTCTGATGCTTTGGATGAACCATCCTCTGCCTCTGATGCTTTGGATGAATCGTCATCTTCCTCCGATTAGTTAACTACGCTGTTTTCTTAGAGCATGCTGACGAATGATCGAGACCTCTGACATTCTTTAATGATGACAACCAGGAGAACCTTGGTTTCACTCTTCATTACTGTATGTCAATTGAGGAGCTCCCTTTTGTACGCTTAACCTGGGTCTGTAAAGTTACTTATTCTGTTCATAAGCCAAAGCCTCTGTTCAACAAAAAAAACATGACATTTAATTTGAATTCCAGCCATTCTTGTGCCTTACCCTTAGGGGTGGGCAAAAATACTGAACCGGCATGGTACCGAACCGAACCGATATGGTACCGGACCGAAAAACGGGGTTTGAAACGGATCTCAATTTTTTTGTCCCGAACCGAACCGTACCGATTCTAAACAATGCCATGACCGGTTCTCATAAAATGAGAACCGAAACCGGATCGAACCGGACCGAAGTATGATTTAATTATTTAAATTTACATTTATACCATTATTTTGACTAGTGCCTTTACATTTTCACCGTCTTTGCTAGTTCATAGGAAGCCTGAAATCGAACTGATGTATGGTTTAATCATTTAAATTTGTACTACTATAATTTATCTGAAATTTATTAATTATGTAATACTACCTTCGTCCCAAATTGATTTGCAAAATTAACTTTTTTTTGTCAAACAGATTCATTTTATTCACTTAACTAGAATGTCAATTTTTAATTATATTTAATTTGGAGCTTGCAACTTTGAAAAAATTTCAATGTAGTTTCTGAATATGTTTATTTCAATTATTACAAATTGAATTAATTATCAATGAAGAGAATTTAACTCCAACATTGGTTGACCAAAAAATGTTGACTTTGCATGTCAATTTGGGATGGAATGAGTATGAAAATTGATAAATTGTGTAGATTTTTGAAGGATGACTAAACTTTAATTGTCTCTTAAACACTTGGAAAAAGTGGCATTGTTTGGTATTGGTATGGCATGATACCGTCCCGTTTCAAAATGAAACCGTACCGAACGGGTTTAGGTCTAAGACCGAACCGAACCGTTTGAATAGTAACGATACGGGTACGAGTTCGGCCAAATATTGGACCGGATCGGACCGCGCCCACCCCTACTTACCCTTCATGTTGGCAGTACCCCCCGTGATATTCCAGTTTTTAACTTCACGGTGCACAATTTGTGACCCTCATGTAGTTATGTGTAGTGCCAATTATATTGTACATCTAGATTTGCATAGTCGTGAGGTTTTCTTAGTATTCTTTTGTTATTATTGCTCATTTTCATCATGATGTTCATATCTATTTGTCATTCTTGTTTTTTAAATTATAATCATAAGTCTCTTAAAAAATGGTCAAGTGGGCTATGAGGGTTGTTCATTCTGCTTCTGCCTGCTTTTAGATGCAACCCATTTTGCTTCACCCTGTTTTTAGACAATGTATGGTCTAGAAATGGACAAAGTCCGGGTCCAAGTCCCAAGCAGGCCTTGCTCGGTTCCAGTGCTCAGCTCGTTCCATGATCAAGGATTTAGCCTTTTCTTCAAATAATGAAGGTGGAAATGATCTGGTCTATGGCTGATTTGGGAGGAACCAGGGATTAGCCTGGGTACCGATTCCGGTCAGAACTATTTAAATGGGCTGCTGTGGTCTGGTTTTTAGGTGGAAGAATTTAACAACAATTTTACTTATGGAATTTCGGATGTAATGTCCAAACGGGTCCTTTTTTCTTTCTATGCACCAATTGCTTATTTGTTTGGTATTGTACTTGCTATTGAAACTAAAATTTAGAATAAAGGCAATTCAGAATTATTGTTAGCTTTAATAGTATTTTCTTTTCTTTAAAAGTTTGGGTTGATGTACTACCAACATTTCTTGCAAGTACTCTATAGTTCAATTTAAATAATAATATTTAAGTCCTTTTAATGGTCTGTCTTTTATTGCACTTATGCTTGTGATCATTATAGTAAAAAGCGCAAAGCGTTATGTTGGTGACAGAATGTGTTTATACAAAATTAATTAGGATTAGGACTAATTTACTTGCTACTAAATTAAACCTAAGCAGATAAATAACAAAGACAGAAGGATATTACCCGAAATGGGACTAAAAAAGTTTGAAAATTCCAAAATAGGACTGTAATGTTTTTATTCCCAAAATAGGATTAATTACTGTCATGTTTTGGCAGTACCATACTTCAAACATTGCAGTATTATCCAAAGTTGGCAGTAATTACTCCTATTTTGGGAATAAAAAACATGACAGCTCTATTTTGGAATTTTCAAACTGATTTAGTCCTATTTCAGGAATTTTATTACTCCGTACATTGCTTGTGATTATTGTGCCCTGGAATGTATTGTAAAACACACTTTCAAATAAGTCATACTGCTTAAGGCAAATGTTTGGTGCTTTCTTGTTAAGGCAAATGTTTTTACCGTGAAATTTAATGAAATCTGATTGTATTTGTTTTTTTGCTTTAAAAAAATTGGAGAAAGTATTTTCGATTTGTTCCATAAGTCATTCGAAACGTATAGTATTATAATTATAATTATAATTATAATTATAATTATAATACGGAGTACAACTCATAAAGGGTTCCCACTTTCCAAGGTTATTGCAAAATAACCTTATATACGGAGTACGGAGTAATACATATTCTTCATATTTATCTAAGAGATATTACCCGAAATAGGACTAAAAAGGTTTGAAAATTCCAAAATAGGACTGTCATGTTTTTATTCCCAAAATAGGACTAATTACTGTCATGTTTTGGCAGTACCAGACTTCAAACATGGCAGTATTTTCCAAACATGACAGTAATTACTTCTATTTTGGGAATAAAAAACATGACAGTCCTATTTTGGAATTTTCAAACTGTTTTAGTCCTATTTCGAGAACTTTCCCATTTAGATAATACTCCGTATTTAGTATCATCATTCCATCAAACAATAACAATACATATTCTTCATATGTAGCTGTTCAAATACTTCGTATATAACAAAATGGCACAGAACTGTTTTTATCATTAAATCTGGTATTTAACCTATCAAAAATCGATAGTAAACCATCAAATTAATTTATTTGATGATTTAGTACACGTTTTGATGATTTCATATTCAAAAGTGGCCTCATGTCATTCTTATTATATATATTTAAATAGTTACAATATGAAATAATTGTTTCTAAAGTACTACGTATTAAGTATGTACTATTAATGGTTATTAACTTGTAATAGTTGATCCTCTCCATATTATTATGGGAGAGTCTGAATTATATATTGAACTTTGCAACTTATTTCCAGAATCATTATCAATAATTTTATACTAAAGAGGTGCACACATTAGTGATTATGAAAATAAGGTGCAATGTCTCACTAAAAATGAGGCGCAAAATCAAATTGCCCCTTATTTACTTACAACTATAGGGATTTCGCAAGGTTTATGAGTGAAATAATAGAGGGGTATATGGGTAGAAAAATAAAGACTTAAGAAAATAGAAAAATGTTTCAAGTAAGAGTATTTGTGTAATTGTAAATAAAGATTTAAGAAAATAGAAAAATGTTTCAAGTAATAAAATATTTCTGGAAAATGGACATGTTCCAACTTCCAAGTAAGTAAAAGCCGAGGAAATATAACATAGAATTATTTTCTAACAAGTACTACTTGGGTGTATATACAACTTTAAATAAGTGTAGTTAAATTTATGTCACATATTTGTATAAATAAAACAAATAGCCTAACTCCTTTAAAAGGATAAGAACAAATGGTTACATATGCTAACTATAATTACGCAGCCACATAATACCTATGAAAGTGCTATATACAAAAAAAAATCATACTTAAAAAATGAAAGTGCTATATACTTAAAAAATCATAATCTAGGTTATTAATCTGTCTGCTCATATTTATTTATGCTATATAGCCATTTAACCCTAGTAAAGATCTTCTCATTTTCTTTCGTCAAACGTAACTAAATAATCTTTTCATTTCTAAATCTTCTCATCATACCCTCAATAGTTTTAAAACAATCACTAGATTTGGTGGTTTTGAGAATATTATCCACCAAATCCTAACAGTTATAATTAAAAATCAGGAAATCCTAACAGTTTTGCAAAATCCACCAAATCTGTTATAACTTGAAATCATATGGTTTTGAGTAACAGCTAAATAATATTCTCAAAACCATATGCTTTCAAGCTATAACAGGATTTGGTGGATTTTGCACAACTGTTAGGATTTCCTGAATTTTTTATCATTTGATAGTGCAGTGAATGAACTAACCACGATCTGCTAAAGGCAGCAACAAGTTGTGTGTGACTGTATGCCATTCTAATTCAAAGTAATACTAGTGCTCGTAATAACTTAAACTTCTCATTATGGTAGAGCTATGATACAGTAATTTATCTACTCCACAATAACATATTCAGAAATTAACCTCAAAGCAGGAAGTTGAAAAGTTAGTAAACTGGTAACAACTTGCTTCGTTATTGATGCAAATCTATTGACACGTGAAAAACGACAATCAATCATTTATTTTAGGGAAAACTGTTAGATAGGTCCTCGAACTTTTATAAAAAGATCAATTAAATCCTTCTATAGGAGGTTCTGTCTGGCTGTCGCGATTTGGGACAGTTCCCGGTGAAATTTTTTGATGAAGTTTTTTGAGCATCTTATTCACCAAGTCTAGTTTACTCATACAAAATTTCAGCTAAAAATTCAATCGGGAACACATTCAAATTAATTCTTGAAGATAACTGTGCATTTTTGCGTTCTCGAATTAATTTGAATGCGCTCCCGATTAAATTTTTAGCTGAAATTTGGTATGAGTAAACTAGACTTCATGAATAGGATGCTCAAAAAAATTCATCAAAAAATTCCACCGAGAACCGTCCCAAATCGCGACGAACGAACAGAGTCTCCTATAGAAGGAATTAATTGACTTTTTTATGAAAGTTTGAGGACCTATTTGACAGTTTTCTCTTTATTTTACTTGTAACTAATAAGATGGATAAACTCAATAGAACATTTTCATTTCATAAGCCAAAGTGCCAAACTCAAAGAACGAATCATCACTTTATCCCTCAACAGGGGGGGACCTAGAGAAAATGCCAGTTCGGCCCCCCAACCTGGAGCGCATCCAAGGAATCCCTTCGGGGACACGGGAAAGCAAAGTCAAAATACAAATCATCGACTGAAAATGCAATCTCTTCTGGAAATACAATGTATTTTTGCGCAGCCAACAAAAAGTTTTGCTACTTCTTAACAGTCCACCAATTCTTGTAGTACAGGACAGAGGATCGACTATAGGGAAATTAGCTCAGGACACACAGGAGTACAATGTCATACTAAGACAGTAGTAACTCTATATATGTGTGTGTGTGAGAGAGAGAGAGATATTACAATGCACTTCACAGCAACCTTCAAAAACATAATAAAGAAGTGCACTCTTTTAGGTACCTAATCTACCTGTGTAAATCCATCAGAAGTGTGTAATTGGGGTAAGGAACGTCAAAAACCGAACTATAATTCAGAGATGAAGCTCACTGACAGTACAATCATGCTTAAGTTACATTCTTGAATTGGCACTAGCCTTGCTTATGAATAAATTACCAATAAAATTTTACAAGATATGCTTTGCTTTGAATTGAAAAGCAAGGATTCAATAAAGTAGAATCATAAAATATGGTACATGAATTTTTTTAACACGGTTTCCATTCCACTTTCATCACGTTTATGCACTTCAAACTCCAAAAACCTCTTTCATGGTAACAAGAAGAATTCTTACCTCTTATGTCAATCATTATAATCACCAATAATCACGACATGAGCATAATCCATCTCTGAAATGATGAAATCGCTTTGCATCACGTATGATAAGTTCCCTACCAACCAATTTAGAGATAATCTTCATTGCACTATGGCAATCCCCACAAATCCTGAGATTTTTTATAATCCGTATGGATGCCCGAGCTGGACTGTCAATAAGACCTCTAGCAACAGCAAGCTTCTCGCTATGTGCCATAATTGCTTCCTCCTTACCTTCATGGTCAATGTCATGAAGCACAAACTTAACCTCTGCTATATAACCAGCCTCTTTCATTTGCTGTCTCATCCCACGCAAAAGAGCATAAAGTTTTTCATGATCAGGGCAAGATCTATCTCCAGCTCTATATTCATGTACCCTGCTTCGAGCTTCTAGAAGGCTTTGACTGGTTGATTTCTTTAATCTTTTTTCTTTTGCGATGTCTGAAGCTGTAATTGGTATTAGCCCTGCCCTTGATTGCTCATCCAAAAAAGAGGGTTCAATGATCTCTACAATCTCAGTACAACGATCCCCAAGTTCATGATTTCCATGAATTCTACATAACCTCATCAAGGTTTTCCAAACATCGACGCTTGGTTTGATGGGCATTCTTTCTATGAATTCTAAAGCTTCATCTAAATAGCCCGCACTTCCCATCATCTTTACAACACTCACATAATGATCCATGGAGGGAACAATGCCATAGTCCTTGCTCATTGATTCAAAGTGAAGCATTCCCTCAATGATGTCACCTACTTCACCACATGCAGAGAAGACCCCCAAAAAGATTTTAGAATCAGGTTTCCATCCCGTCTCTTTAAATTGAGTGAATAACTCAAGAGCATCTTCTCCTAGGCCATTTCTACCGTACCAAGTGATCATTCGATCCCAAGATGTGATATTACGTTTATTCATTTGATTAAATACTGCAAGTGCATCATCCATGGAACCACATTTGCCGTACATCTCCAGAACTTTGTTGTAAGTTTTGACTTCCAAATGAATTCCAGACCTCATTAGGTTCTCATGAACTGCTTTGGCTTCTTCTAAGGCTCTATTCTCAGCACACAAAATCATTAGAGACAGATACCTAGGTAAGTCAACTGATACATGAAGCTGCTCTAGCAAACCAAGAACCTTAATGGCTTCCTCAATCTTTCCCTCTTTGCAGAAATGATCGAGTTCCTCAATTGTTCCCTTTACACTTCCATCATCTTCTTCCTGATGCACTTGGGGATCCACTGTAGCATTTTGCAACTCATTTGAATTCCACTGAGAGTGTCCAGCATTAAGATAGTTAGTCCCACTTGTTTGTTGCTGGTATCCTTCACTATTTCCAGGAAAATAGTTACCAGGTCTATATGGCTCATTCAGGGCACTACTAGTTTGATGAATAGGACTATCTGGCTGACCCTCAAATTGATAGTTGCCTACACTTTGCTGCGGTCTGTGGTTTCCATTCCAATAGTGACCTGGTCTATGAGGCTCGTTGAAGGTACCACCGGTCTGATGCATTTGAACGTTCGGATGATTGTCCAAGTGATGGTAGCCTACACTTTGCTGTGGCATATGGTTTGCATTTCCGTAGTGGCCATGAACAGTTTGATGTTGCTGTTGTTGCTGTGTATATGCAAATTCCGTGTTATTAACCACCTGAGGAGCCGAACCATTCTGTGAACCCCAATAACTTCCCGCATTTAATCCACCTGAACTTTCCCATGAATGCCCATAATTTCCCAAATGATGGCTGTTAATATTTCCATTCTGCCCAATAGGGTTCTGCGTATACTCGTTTCTGTTTTGGTATTCAACATAGCCTGAGGAAAAGCTCCCATTTTGCGTTGTGCCATTGACATTTCCAGTATGGAATCTCTCTGGAGATTCCTGAGAACTCCAAACACTGGGAGCTTGAACATAATTTTCTCCACCGAAACCATTGGAGTCGTTAATAAAATCAGATTTTTCAGCGGCAGTGCTTAGATTTCTCAAAAAATTGCGAACAGGTTTAGCAGAACCGGAAGAAATTGTAGATGGCCCGCATAGCTTGGTCAGTATCCTGATATTGGTGATGCTCAAACGCGCCGCCTTGTTTCTATACATCTGTCGGCGAAGCGAAAATCATGTAACGCATTAGCCAATCTTTGATACACCAAACTTTTTTGCCGGCAATGAGAATTAAGGAAATAATACGATAGGTGTTGAGCAAGAGGTTACCTGATGTCTGACGGCGAACAGTGAACAGCGATGGAGGAACGAGGGAAAAGGAGGGAGGTGGACTTGGGCAAGGGTTTTGTTTAGCGTAAAAACTTGTGTGACGCCCCCTCATTTTTGTTTAAACAATAAAAGGCCGTATTTTGACTACTTTGTAATTTGAGCAAGGATGTTTTTACTTTGTAATTTGTCGGAATTTTTATAAAAGGATTACTAAAATAAAACTTAATTACATAAATATGACTCACGGCCGCCGCCCATTCTTCGTCCACAACAGCCACCCCGTCCCCAGCCCCTCCCTTGCCCTAACTATACACACCAGATCCCAACCTAGCCCTAGCCCCTAACCACCCGCAACTGAACTCTAGACACCACCATCCCCAAACTCCGGTCGTTGATGTTCGTCATCTTAGATCTGACCATCCATCTGAGGCGGGGCGAAGGCGGCCTGTGGAGCGAAGTGAGGCAAGGCGTAGGCGGCCTGTTCGAAGAGGCTGAGGCGAGGCTGAGGCGGAGGGGGCTTGTGTTCTGAGGCACGACGAGGCTAAGAAGGAGGGGGCGAGGTTGGGGCGAGCTGGAGGTGAGACCGACCGTTTGTGATTTGATGCGCAGGAAATGCATGCGATTTGATGCGCAGAGGATGGGAGAAGAAAGACGGATTGCGCAGGAAAGGGAGAAGAAACGACGCGCAGGGGTCTAGGGGATAATTTTTTGGAAAAGATAAAATTGGTCATAGATTTGGAAATGCAAAGCCAGGTTGTAATTTCCATGCCACTTTTTCTCTCTTTTAATTACCCGTGTCATGCATTGGATAAAATGATTTTGCTTTTTAGTATTATAAAGGAAAATCATTTATTTAGTCGATTATAAGTTTGGTTTTAAAAATGCATATTCTAATTTATTGAGTATGTCTTATTCTTTAACTAGTTATCTAAACATGTTTTCAGTCTATACAATAAAAGGATCACGTCTTTTTGAGTTTTTCATAAAATATTATTAATAAAGTAGTCATGGACAAAAATGTTATTTGGTAACTTTTAGTGACTATAATTGTGTTCACAACATATCATAATCACTATATCATAGTAACTTTGAACTCAAGTATAGTCACTAAAAGTTACTTAGTCCCATGTTTGTCCGTTAGCTTTCCAGGAGTAATATTAGTGGAATTTTTTCTATTTTTTATAACTCTCAGTTGCATCAGATTGAAATTAATATATTTTTACCTAAACAATAAGAAAATACTCGATATATATTTTTATATATTTCATTTAATGTGTGGCTTATTGTTTTTTTTCAAAATTAACTACACATTGTTGTAATTTATTTATCTAATAATGGGTGTAGTTGTTTTTTAAGATATTAGCCCTTCTAGGTTTTTGAAAATTTCAACTTAGTCTTTTGATCTCTTTCTTTAAGAAAAGAGATTAGAACATACGAAGTACAATTTGTGACATTCCGATTTTAATGAAGATGATGGCGGCAACAATAGGTTGCATATTGTAATTGAAAGCGATCGATTTATTTTTCATTGGATTGAGTTATTGAAGGTATAAATGATCTAACATAAGTGTTATTGAACGAAGAAAAGTTGCATCACACGAATAAAACCTAGAAGGTCAGATGAATAAAACGGTAAAACCTATAAAAAGATTATCATCACATCAAAAGGTAGCTATAATCGAAACATAAACATGTCAAATTATCCAATGAAATATAAAAAGTCAAACGCTCCATATTCAGAAACAAAAAATGATCTCAATTTTCATGGTCAAATAGTATTATACTCCGTATTAAAGTTACATTCATGAGTAAAAGAATTACCACATACCTTTTATACAAAGTCCATGTTATTTATAGATCTTAAACACCACTTTTAGTGTCACGATAAGATTGTTATATATGTAATTAATACGACTTTCCGAAATTTGAAACTTTCGGGCAAGATATATCAAGATTATATTAATATAAGCTACACTAAAAGTAACTTTCACTTTCATAAATAAGATCAAAATTTCGGTTCCAATTGAAAATATCCTTAATTACAAAGGTGAACATCTTACCGTGTCATGGCTTGTTTTGGTTTTTATTCTACCAAGATTTATTTACAACCTGTGAAAGTGAGAGTTAATTTTTACTTCGATGTATCATAAGCATTGTGATGATTTTTCATTTTCAAACTGAGGGGCAAATTTGTTTGTGTTTTAATTTTTGTTGCATAAATGTGAGAAAACATTAAGACAAATTTGTATATAGCAAATTTTAAGACATGCAGTCTTGTTATTAAACACATCTTACCTTTGTTTTGAAACATTGACTTATAATGTTAAATGAATTCATATCATAAATTCGTAGATGAATAAAATTCATATTCATGATTTTGAAATGTTTTTAAGATTTGTTTTTCTCAGTTAGATCATTATTAATGAATTAGTTTTTAAGATTTTAACACATGCCTCCTCCTCCTCCTCCCCCTTCTTCTTCCCCTTCCCCTTCCCCTTCCCCTTCTTCCCCTTCCTCTTCCTCTTCCTCTTCCTCTTCCTCTTCCTCTTCTGCTGCTTTCGCTTCCTCCCCCCTCCTCCTCCGCTGTTTATATAATTGAAATTTTTGTATAAAAATTTAAGCTTGTAATATTTAGTTTTTATTATAATTTTCAGATTTTTTTATTTCCTATATTTTTTTACATTTTTATTACCCTTTAATTTTTTTAATTATATTTGTTAAAAAAATTAACAAATTTTTACTTGTATGCGTGGGTCATTTTCTATGTGTGGGTCATTCTTCACTTAACATTGTTATACTCCGTATGATTTATCATTTCCCCAATTTTAAATTTTAGTTTTTTTTTTTTTTTACCCCGGAAGGCAAACCACCAAAATCAGTGGGGTAAATGCCGGGGGACATTTACCAGATTTTATTCAAAATGATGCAAGGAATACACGAAGAGAGGGGGACTTCACCAAAACCTCCCTACAACATTATGTAACAAGAAATGATGATTACAAAATAAAAGCATTTGAAAATCAAATAAAGATGTACGGAGTAGCTGATGCATCCAACTTGAGAATCCCTCTAAATCCAGGATCTATACATTCCCCAGCAGTCCATATAAAAGGCCCAGACTGGCCCGTTTTTGCTAAATAGACAGCAGCTGAATTAACTTGGATCGGATAAAGCCCAAAAGCAATATCCAGATCAATCTGGACCGCACACCTTGTATAGTTGTTCATCTCATGTTTAGAACAGATATCGACATCAAGTCGAAAATGACGGAGAGATTTCACCCAATCCAAAGCCTGTCTGAAAACCCCCTCTTCCTCCACCGGCGAGCCACTAAGTGGAAACCCCTTTGCCGCAACCAATGCTCCCCGGTGGTCGCGCAGCAAGAAGCCAGCAGAAGACTGACCGCTTTGTCTATAAACCGCCCAGTTCAGCTTCAACCTCGGCGGTATCGGTTTGACCCAGTAACAAGTGCGTGGCTTCCTTGATCTAAACCCCTCAGGTATCAATCCTAATCCTTTAACTTTAGCATACCCAGAAATGTTATCATTCGCATAGCTCCATGACACCATGAAATTACAGATTTGTTTAATAAGAGCCTCCTTAGTTGGATCTACCTCCTTCCAAATTGCCTCCCAGTACGCCTTCCATATGTGCCAAGTAATCACACCCGGCAGTATTGAGGAGTAGGTAGCATCTAGGGAATTACCTTTAATCGTAATCCACCATTTCATAAGCTCCAATTCAATCTAAGTTGTTGTTCTTCCTCCAATCCGCAGGGTGCCTTCAAAAAAATTCCAAACTGACCTGGCAAGAGGGCATAGTAAAAGAACATGGTCTTGTGTTGCTGAGGCCACTTTGCACAGGGGACATTGAGATGGATACGCATATGAAAAGGAGGCTAACCTTTCAGGAAATGGGAGCCCCGTATTCCAGAGCTTCCACAAAAAGATCCTAATTTTTGGTATTTGCTTCTTATGCCAGATGTTTGTAGTAGATAGAGTATTCCCCCTCCCTTGCCATAAAGCCATGTATGCTGATTTGTAAGTAAACTCTCCATCCGGTGTGTGTTTCCACTTGATAGAGTTATTGCCTCTATCCACCATGAGCTGGGCCTCTTCATTAACTTGACAAATCCTTCTCCAAGTTGGAGAATCATGAGGCTTGGCCACACCTAGAGGTCTTTTCCCATATTTACTCTGCATAAGGCATGACCAAGCAGAATTCCCCTTATGAAAGTCCCACCAAAGTTTTATGGCTGAGACCTTTTGAACATCAGCTAAGGACCTGATGCCGAGACCACCTGCAGCAGTTGGCCTACATAATTTTTTGAAACTAATCCAGTGATGTTTAGGCTTGTTGTCGCTAACTCCCCAAAAGAAATTTGCAATTTTCTTATTAATCATGCGCAAAACAGAATAAGGGAGTTTAGTCACAGCTATAATATGAATAGGCAAAGCACTCAGGACATGTTTAATGAGTGTAAGTCTTCCGGCTTGTGATAAAGTCTTCTGCCTCCATGTAGAAAGTTTTTTGTCAAAAACTTGGAGAAGGTCTTTACAATGGACGACCCTAGTCATCCCCTTATGAATTTGCACACCCAAGTATCTAAAGGGCAGTTTAGTAGCTTTCATACCCAACCCGTTCTCTAACTGTAAGATCCTTGCTTGCGTAGCGAATTTTCCAACCACAAAACTGCTTTTATCCTTGTTCACAAGCTGCCCCGAAGCTTGTTGATATTCCTTAAAGAAATTGTCAAAATTTTTGATAGACCTTGTTGAACCATTTAAAAAAAATCATAAGGTCGTCCGCAAAGGCGAGGTGAGTAAAAACCTTGCCTCTGCCCACATTAAAGGCCTCAATTTTCCCCGAAAAGATCAAATGATTTAAACCTCTAGAAAAGGCTTCCGACATAATTATAAAAAGCAACGGGGATAGTGGATCCCCCTGCTTAACCCCACGTTGAGGTTGAAAGTAACCATATGATCTTCCATTAAGAATAATAGATATAAAAGTATCTCTTAGGTTCCCCAAAACCACTTTTCTAAAATGAGTGTTGAAGCCAAACTTAGCTAAAATAGCCTCCAAAAAGCTCCAGGCCACGCGATCAAAC